ACTTTTTTGCAACTAGTCAGGGTAAGCAACCTTGTGATGGGATAGGTGGTACAGTCAAACGTCTGGCAACACTAGCAAGTTTGCAAAGAGATATGCGTAATCATATTTCGTCTCGACAAAGAATGTACAAACATTGCAATGAAAACATTGAAAGCATAAATTTCATATATATATTTCATTAGAATATTTAGCTTTGGTGAGAACCGCTCTTAAAGAACAATTGGATACTGCTAATAAAATACCTGGATCACGTAGTTACCATGAGTTTGTACCAATTAGCCATCAAAGGTAAATTATTATTTTTTAATTATACCTTTTACCATGTTTTAAAATACACGCATAACTTTTATTTATATACTCAAATAGATATTAGATTTTTGCAGAACCATTATCAAAAATATTTGTATTTTATTTTATTTTCTCTGCAATTGCTATCTATGTATTTAATAAAACATGTTTGATACGTAAAACGGAATAATTGCACAAGTTACTATTTTGTTTAGGTAGGCACTAAGCTATGCAATGTTGATGAAGAATTTGCTTTAATTCATGACTTTGGAAATATCCAGATAACAACTGTAAACCTAGTACCAGGTGATTATGCCTGTGTGTTTTCTATGTGCAAAAGTGGTGGATAGGAGTCATTGAAGATATTAATTCAGAAGAAAAAGATGTGCTTGTAAAATTATGTGTCCTAATGTTCCTGCACGGTCGTTTAAATAGCCACCAAAAAGAAAGCTATTGCTGGATTCCTGATGTCCACATTATTTGCAAAGTTGAGGTACCGATAACAAAAACAGGACTTTTCTACTATTTAGCCAAAGAGGACTTAAAAAAAATTACTTTCCTAAGGAAGTAGAGATTTTTATATTTATGAGTCTATTATGTCTTATCCATTCTTTTTTTAAATATTATGCTTTGTGAACCAACTTGTAATTAATGTGAATGCTTATATAAAATCACTAAAGTTTATTATTTTTTTAAAAAAAATTTTATACGTTAAAATTTTGTTGTAAATATCATATGAAAATGAAAAAGATAATAAAGTCACTATTTTTTTAGTTTCTAATTTGATTGATTGGTAAAAGGTGGGGTTATATTAAGTGTCTAATTTAAAAAATATTAAAAAATTTTGTGTCTATATTAAACATCAATAATTCCTCAAGTAAATATAAGGCCAAAACAAAATTGGTTCGAAAAGTAGATGTTGATCTTATTTTTAAGAAAATCGAAATTAAATTTTATTTATATTAGTCAGATTTTTTTTATAGATATAATTGACAATGCCCTTTTTTCTCGGCGTTATAAAGTGTATTATATGGATCTTAAAATAAGCTAAATTCCCTTGTTTTGACATATAAAAAACTATGTTTTTCGGATTTAACAGGTTTTAAACTCTTTTGGTACAAAGTTTTAGAATTATGGCATCACTACAAGCACCATATCAAGGTGAAAGTAAACGGAATGATTTTCGGCACTTTTTCCCCCTCAGTTTTTAGTCAACATCAAGGAACCTTCAAATTGCTGTAAATTATGAACGGCAAGGAATTTTATGAAAAAAAATAACGATCTTTCCTAACATATGTCTGTAAACATTTGTGCCAAGCTTCAAAAATTTTTGTAGTATAGGGTGCAGATTTGTGTTTTTTTGTGTTTTTTGTGAAACTTTTACCCTATTGCTGGTTTTGAATATACTGGGCTGTTTCCACTTAACAAAAATAAAAATCAGTTAACAGGCATTAGCTATTTCCGAAACGTTTATTCAACCGACTTCTTCAACGCCATTACAATAAAGTCTTCAGCATTATCTTTTGAACCAGCAAAAGCAGCTTTGAAGTTCGACAAGTACAAGCACTACATGAGAGAATTTGAAATCTACATGGAAAATGAGCTAAAGTGTTTTTTCAGGAAAAAAATCAGTCTCATCAAAAAATCGAGAAACCGAATATTCCAAAAGTTGCTGGCCAATGTATTACAAAACACGGTGTTGAAAATCATCTCAAAAAAAGAGAAGAAGGTAAGCAAGTCAAATTAGATGAAAAACAAGCTAAAATGTGTAAAACCAAATGTAAACACATAATGCTATTGCCAAACCCTGCAGAAAAAGAAGTAACTAAAAATATAGAACCAATTACATCACCTTCAGCCAAAAGAGGAAAAAAGTAAAAAAAAAATTTGGACATGACGTCATGCGAGAATCCATGAATATCTTGGATTCCAATAATATCTTGGACTCCAAGAATATCTTGGAGTCGGAATCCCGTTATCATTTTTGCCGCGAACAGCTACCATTATAGTTGGGCAAAAACAAACTCTCATAACAATCATTTTTTTTAATTAAATAATTATATATTATTTAATAATATATTATTATTATTTAATAAAAATTGATATTAGCGGTTGAATCGATAAAGTGATATTAGTTGAATTTAATTTGAGATTTTGTTTTTCGCGATATTTGAAGAACAGTTTAAAATGCTCAAATATTGTTGTGCTTTTGGACGTACAAACAATCAAATAAAAAAGCCAGATATCAAGTTTCACATTTTACCAATTTTTTTTTCAAATTTTTAAACAAAATATATTTTTTTACTTAAAATTTTTTTAAGTTGAAAAATTAAATATTTGCAAAGCTATGTGACTTGGAACCTTTAAAAAAAACTTCCCAATTCTAAGGGGATCTAAAGTTAAAAGTAAAATGGTCATATTTCACGATCTTTTCGGAGCTAGAATCTAAAATTTATGAGGATTTCTTATTTTACTAAGTACTGTATAAAAATCAGCAAAAACTGAGATATATGACCTGGGTCAGGAGGTCTGGGTCTGGAGACACGATTTGGGTCAATTGAATTACCCTAAATTTGTATTTATGGAGACATAGCCTGGGTCACGGAACTACTCTAAAAGTGTATTTATATGGAAATTATATTATCTATCAAATATATTTAATATTTTAAATATTTTAAATAAATCTATTTTAAATAACTTTTATCATATTATTATTATTATTATTATTATATATATATATATATATATATATATATATATATATATATATATATATATATATATATATATATATATATATATATATATATATATATATATATATATATATATATATATATATATATAATAATTTTTAATTTTTAACTTTTCATTATTTATTGACAACATTGTTCTGTCGACAGAGCGGATAATACCAGACCTTTGTCTTTGGTGATTTTTTTTAAATTTAAGGCAATTAGGATGAAACCATTGATCACAACGCTCACAACTGACCATATGACCATCACTCTTTGTAGTTTTGCTAATGCAAAACACTCTTTCCTCTTGATCTAGTTGAAGAGTTTTATCTGCAATTTCTATGTGATGTTGTTCATCAGTTTTATCTGTAATTTCTAACTTCTTTGTCATTAGTTCTGATATGATCACATGCTTCCAAAACTTTGTACTATATACAATCATCTCATTAATAAAATCAAGATCCTGTTCAATTTGAAAAAATAAAAAATGTCTAGAAGTAAAATCACAATAACACACTTCCAATATGAGTATTTGAAGTTGTACCTGGCTAAAATATGGATGGGTTCTTTCTAATTTTAAGCTGCTATTGTTTTTTTTTTACAATAAAATTGTCATTGTTTGTTGATGAAGCTAATCCAATATCTTTAAGACTATGGAAATTTCACCTCAATGACTCCATACCCACAACATGAACAATGTACAACACCATCAAGAGCACACCTAACCATGGCTTTTCTCGAGAAACTACAAGTCCAAATTTTTTACTTCAAAATCATTGTGAATCGTGGGAGACAAAGTGATTTACGTATTTATAAGTCATCAGAGCAGACATTTACATACTCAGCCAAAGCAAATTCTCCTTTTTCTCTTTCCCATAATAATGAAGATGCATTCTTTTGGAAAAAATTTTGTTTTGTAAGTTTTCTAACTAAAGATTTTGGTGAAGTTTGAACACATGCTTTCAAAACATCATTAATAACAGAGCCAGTTATTCGACCTCTGCTTATCTCTGCTCATGCCAAGAAATGGGCAATGACTGATTCCTAGTACTTTCTTCGAGGTATTCCTTTTGTTTAGCGGTAATTTATATTGTATTTGTAAATTATATTCTCGTCTTGATATTGAACATATGGCCATTCAGTTGGGTCATCTTTCCAAGTATCTGCAGGGAATTTATATATAAATTGATCAATTCCAAGAATTTCAAGTTTATTTTTGTAACGTTCAGCGGCGCAACGATCTAATTTTTCAAAGTATTTGTAAATAGACATTTTTTTAAAACTCTTTAACTTACTTAACGTTCGATTTCTAGTGCTTTCTTCACTCAACTGTTCATTTGTTTTACCTTAACTAAGATTAACCATTTACACTATCGAAATTACGCATGATCACGTGATATTCCGACTCCAAGAATAATAAAAGTGAAAACATAAAAAGATTTTTTTGCTAGGAAAATATGTAAAATTTTACAAAAATTTTTATACAAGTTTCTTAAAAGTCTTTTTACATTGGGTACAATATCTTACATTGCATATTTTACATAAAAATGGTGGATTAAATATGAATATTTATTCATTAAAAGATTTATATATATATATATATATATATATATATATATATATATATATATATATATATATATATAAATCTTTTAATCTTGTTATAATTATGAAACTATAGTGTGGACCAGTATATTTTGGTTTGTATAGTTAAAAGACAATATGTTTGTATGAATGAAATTCCATCAAGTTGAATAAATAATGGTTTAGTCCATTATCTGAATTGAAATGTGAAATTCACAGTAAAAAATTAAAATATAACACAACAATCGGTTGGTATGAGTTTAAACTAAAATGTGATGAAACTACAGGTGTTATAATCTATTATATACAAATGATTATTACATATATTTATAAGAGCAGTATTAAAGATCATTTAATCTTTATCAAATCTTATAAAAATCTTAAAGCATTTATTGTATTTTTTTTGTTAGGGATCAATATAATAACATCAGGTAAAGTAAAAACGTATATAAACTGGATTGCAGGCGTTAACATTACTCCAAAGCAGGTTGATATTTTTGTTTTATCGTTGTTATTTTTTTAATACTCTGCTTCATTATTAAATTAAAATAAAGATGGCTCGCACAGTAGAACAGAACTTAAATTTAAAGTTTTAGTTAAAAAAGCAAATAAAAATTATTTGTTAATTGATAATATAGGAGCTAAAGTGTAAAACACAGTCATTTTTAAATATATATATCTACTTTGTTTTGTCATGTGCATATAATGCTCATCCAGAGAAAGGAGCCAGTCAATGATGATCTAAAGAAAAAAAAGATTTTTTAATGTTTTGTTAATGTTGAGCTGTTCAACTGTAATGGAGTTTAAATTAAAATAAAACACATTCTGGTTATATAATGCATATGTCATTATAAATATTATGAAAGTAACAAAGATTGTAAATTATAACTTTTTTAATTAACTTTTATTACTCTGCCATCATAGAAAATTTTCTTAGATATATCAATAGTGCACCATTCATGATAATGTTCTGCTAATAGTTTTTTTTACACATAATATAATCTAAATCAACAAGTTACACAAATGACAAATTATTAAATAAATTTTTAATTTCCTCTTATTATTTTATTTATTTATTATTATTATTATTGTTATTAATACTATAATTTTTTATATATTTCTATTATTTATTTATTATTTTTTTATTTATAGTATTTGTAGAAAAGTTATGACTTATAAAAAAAGAAAAAGTTATTAAAAGTTGCTAACATCATGCTCAAAATAGAGCCAAGATTTCTTATGAAAAGACTTCAAAATAGCAAACAATTCATAAAAAACAAAGTTAAAGAAAAAGCTGTTTATAAACAGTTTTTTCCGTAACTTTGTTCTTTTTTTTAAATATTTCAATATATCCATTGAGTATTAAATCACATTTATATAGATTAGTCTAGATTGATTTGTCTATTAACTCTGACCTCTCAGTTGTATTCATGTCTGGTTTTTCAGATCTTTATTAAGATTTTGTTTATCACATTTATTTGTCATAATTTCCTTATTTTTTGTTAATTTACAATTTAAGTATTCCATTAATTTAATTGATTTGTGATTTGATTGTATTTTTACTTTATATAAGTATTAAAAAAAAAGAAAAATCGTTAATATATTTAAAAATATATATATTAGCGATTTTTCGCTGACCTATTGTAGTCAGTGTCATCAGGTAATAATAAAACATTACAAAATAATGTAAAACAAACCGTTCAAAAAAAAGATATTAAAAAGCGTCAAATATAAAAACCAATTAAATAATATAATATTGATGTCAGTTGAATTTTTGTCAGAATGGGTCCCCAAGTTCTTGCTTTAACTTTATCCCCGTCATCTTGATTTAGAATTCCTTCCCCAATACCTATCTCATATCGAACTTTTGCTTTGTTAATCTCCAGGGATTTCTAATTTTTCGTATCCTGTATTCTTGAATAACTGCCAAGGTCTTACGATTTAGCCAATCAAAGTTACCACAAAATGCTCTAGTATGTTCTGTGGCTCCTGAACTTGACCATTTTTGATTTTTGCAAGCTATTTTGTGTTCTGCACTTCTTAAAATGATATTTTTTTTGGTCTCAACAATATGTATATATATTTCGGGATGAGCATTTAAGTTGATAAACTCCCGGATTTGAGTTCGGAGGTAGTTATGTTTTGTTGTTGCATAATATGTTATTTAAATTGGGAGCTGTAGTAAATGTAACTCTGATGTTTTGTTTTTTTTTAAATTCTCTTCGGAGTTTTGGGCCTATAATAGGTATTGAAGGTAGTTTAACAAATTTCTGATCTATCTGATTAGATATAGTATTTTTTGAAATGTTGTCTAAGTAGTTTTAGGTTATTTTAGTTAGATTATTTTTGTTTTAGCTGTTTTCAAAAAATTTATTTATGAGGAAATCAATTTCTTATAAGAGAAAAAATTTATTAGTTCATGCTCGAAATGAAGCAAAAGAAAGATTATATTTAAGTAAGAAATTAATTGATGAACTAAATTTATATCTTCAATCTTAAATACGATCTAATGACTATGAGATAATTAATAATGTTACAAACCAATCTAAAAACTACCATTATTTTATAAAAAAAACTGAAATGAAAGAAAAATTCTATAAATTGTAAAATGAAAACAATTATAAAATCAATTTTGAAAAAAATCGTCCTAACAAAATTTTAAAACCAGCTATACTAAATTTAACAAATAATAATCTCAATAAATCAACTACTGAGCTACTTAATCTTGGTCCAAAATTTGTCCCAATATAAAAAGAACATCCCATATATGGACATAACCACTAATAAACTAAAACAATAAAATAAACAAACACAGGCAGAGATTCTTCGACAAAACTGTTCCAAAATTCTAACAAGTTCTTTAAAGTTAAAAATAAAAAATAATTTAACAAAACAGCAACACTTTTCTTTACAAAACCTAAATAAACGCTCACATTTAAAGATATATCCGTTTGACAAAGGAAAAGGTTTTGCTTTATTATACGAAAGTAAAGCAAAAGCAAAATTAGAAGAACAAATAAAAAATAGTAAAATTATTGAATAGAACCCAACACCCACATTCACTACTAAATTTCAAAAACTATTATCTAAATTAAGAAAACAAGGTAAGTTAGATAATGTTACTTATTTTAAAATGTATTCATCAGATTACGTTCCACCTAAAATCTATGGAATGGTTAAAGCAAACAAACGGGAGAAAAACTACTCAATGGGTCCTGTTGTTTCTACTATTAACACACCTCCTTAAAATTACACCACATAAAATTAACACACCTCCTTATAGAACATCTGAGTATCTGGTTAAAATTATCCAACCAACATTAAACAATAATATAACTCTACTAATTAATTCAAAAATCTTTGTTAACGATGCAAAAGAATGGAAGAAAGGCCCTAATTAAAGTCAGGTTTCTTTCGATGTAATTAATTTAAATTCATCCGTACCAATCATTGAAGCAATTCATGTTATCATTAACATATTGAAGGATGATTTTAAAGATTTAAAAACTAGGACTAAATTAACTCTCATAGATATACATCAATTAATTGAACTATTGTTAAGCATATGTTACTTTTTATACAAAGATAAAATTCCAATTTTACCTAATTCAGGTCCAATTGATTTGTCATTGATGGTAGTCATAGCTGAAGCATTTTTGCAATGTATAGAAAAAAGAGCACTTGATATAGCCTTTGTTAGTTCATTCCAACCAGTAACTTACAAAATATATATGTATGATAGCCTTGCTCGCTTTGATTCAAAAGAAAAGCAATAATTATTTTGTAAAGCTTAATCGAACAAAACCCCTTCATAAAATATACCGTTGAACTTGAAAACAAAAGAAAACAACTTAAATTTTTAGATATTAGTATTACAGATACAATGAATGGATTTTATTAGTTTTAAGTACACCGTAAGGATACGATAACAAATGTTCAAATAAAACCAAACTCCAATATCAACCCAAGCATATCCACTGGCGTCTTTAAAGGTTTTTTAAATCAAGCAAAACAAATCTGTTTCAAAAATATCTCTCTATAAGAAATTGATTTCCTCATAAATACATTTTTTGAAATCGGCTATAACAAAAATAATCTAATTAAAATAACCAAAAGCTATTTAGACGGCATTTCAAAAAATACTACATCTAATCAACTAGATCTAAAGTTTGTTAAACTACCTTGGATACCTATTATTGGCCCAAAACTCTAGAGAGAATTTAAAAAACAAAACATCAAAGTTATATTTACTTCAGCTCCCAATTTAAATAACATATTATGCAACAACAAAACTACCTCCGAACTCAAATCCGGGGGTTTTTCAACGTATATTCACATGCGGAGATATATATTTATATATATATTGGTGCGACCAAAAATCATTTCAAGAAGTGCAGAACACCAAAGAGCTTGCAAAAATCAAAAATGATCATGTTCAGGAGCCACAGAACATTCTAGAACATGCCTTGGTAACTTTGATTAGCAAAATTGTAAAACCTTGGCAGTTGTTCAAAAATACAGGATACAAAAAATTAGAAAATCCTTGGAGATTAACTAAGCAAAAGTTCGATAGGATAATGGTAATTATTATAGGATATTGGTGATTGTGAGATAGGTATTGGAGAAGGTTTTCTAAATCAAGATGACAGGGATAAGGTTAAAGCAAGAACTTGGGGACCCATTCTGACAAAAATTTAATTATTGTATTAATTAATTGGTTTTTATATATTACGCTTTTTAATGTCTTTTTTTTAAACGGTTTGTTTTATGTTTGTTATTTTGTAATGTTTTTCTATTACCTGATGACGACGACCACAATAGGTCAGCAAAAAATCGTTAATATATTTTTTCATCAAAATACATTTAAAAATAGTTATATGCTGCTTTTTATTAAAATCAATTTACATAATATATATATATATATATATATATATATATATATATATATATATATATATATATATATATATATATATATATATATATATATATATATATATATATATATATATATATATATATATATATATATATAAATTAGTAGAAAATCACTTAGCAAAATTTTTCTCATTTAACACTGTGTTTCATCAATAAAGACTCATCAGAAATCTTTATTGATGAAACATAGTGTTAAATGAGATAAAATTTTGCTAAGTGATTTTTTACTAATTTGTAATTGCTCTGTTCTTTTAAGAACATTGAGCACTCTTTTTGTAGAATACATTTTAAATTGTTTAAATATATATATATATATATATATATATATATATATATATATATATATATATATATATATATATATATATATATATATATATATATATGTATATATATAAATATATATATATATATATATATATATATATATATATATATATATATATATATATATATATATATATATATATATATATATATATATATATATATATATATATATATATATATATAAATTAGAAGAAAATCACTTAGCAAAATTTTTCTCATTTAACACTGTGTTTCATCAATAAAGACTCATCAGAAATCTTTATTGATGAAACATAGTGTTAAATGAGATAAAATTTTGCTAAGTGATTTTCTACTAATTTGTAATTGCTCTTTTGAGAACATTGAGCACTCTTTTTGTAGAATACATTTTAAATTGTTTTAATATATATATATATATATATATATATATATATATATATATATATATATATATATATATATATATATATATATATATATATATATATATATATATATCTGTGTGTGTGTGTGTGTGTTTATGTATATATATGCATATGTGTATATTTATATGCATATATGTATATATAAATACAGTTAATTGTACATATTTTGACCCTCCAGAACACCAAGGAAAACGGTTCTACTAAGCAAATGTTTGACTTAAGCGATGTGTAACTGCCTCAAAGGTTTGTGTTATGTGTGTGTATTTGCATTGATGTATGATATTGATGTATAATGTATAATTATCCAAACAGATTGATATCTTGGTCAATAATAAAGTAAATTAGACACGGATCAGTAATGGGTTGTTTTTTTTCCTACTATTGATCATTTAATGTTCACCTTCGCTTGTGAACAATGTGAAGTATATTAATACTTGTAAAATGTACAAATGCACCTTACTTTAAAGATATTTTTATTTTGATGCAGTTACCTAATGTTCTTAAATAAAAATACACAATGCACAAAGATATAATTTAGACCATTTGAAGGTTGCACCATATTGATTGGATCGTGGAAAATGCATCAAATCAAAATAAGTCTAATAATAGAAGGCGATAAAAATACATGTAAATTTGATATTAGTGATGAAGATAACGATATCATGATTTTATCAAGATGGTTTTAAAAATAATTTTAATTTTGTATAAGTTATTGTTCTAAAAATGTATAAATTTTTTTTTTGTTTTTTTTTTGCTTTCATTTGCCTTTCACTTTCTATAAATTAGTTACCTGCATTAAAACAATGATACAGGGTAGATTATTTGTAATACTATAGCAACAGTTAGTATTATAATATAAAATAAACTAATAATACTACTACTAATAATAAGAGAAAGCTGTAAAAATTGAAAACAAAATGTGCAGTTCAATAGAATAAGTTATTGTACAGCTATTATAAGTTTATGAAAAATACTGTTTTTTTCTCTTACTCATAACAACACAATATTGTACAAAAAATAAATGTTTTTTTGCATTAAAAGAGACACGACGCAAAAACTGTATTTTTGAGGTTTGTAAACTTGTATATAAGTTAGTTGAATCAATGATAGATCAACGTTAATCTAACGTTGATTTTAGGTTTATTTTCAACATTGATCTAACTTTTTTTTTCAACGTTGATATTGTGTTTCCATTTCAACCAAAAATCAACCATTTTTTAACCATAAATTTCAGCGGTTTTTTTCAGCGTTATTTTATGATTGATTGTGCTTGCTGGGTAGGTGTACTGTTAATTTTCCTTTTGGTTATGGAAATAAACAAGTTATTGTAGAAATAGTGACATTATTCATTTCTTGTTTTTATATTGTTTTATATTGTTGTTGTTTAAACTTATTGTTATTTCATTTAGAAACTAACATTGTTTAAGATATAATTATAATTGAGAACAACGACTAACTTTTGTTTATGTTAGTATTGCTACCGTCTTCTACATTAGCACCAGCAGTACCACCACTACCTCTACCAACAACTCCAGTACCCTTACCGTTGATGCCAGCATCTTTATCAACAAGCTCGCCGCATCTAGCGATGCCACCTTTATTAAATACTGAAATCGTAGGAGATCAACCATTGAAACGTTCATCCAGGCTACGTATCCCCAAAAAATTCTACCAACCAGAAACCGGGAAATCTTTGACATTAAATGACTTTAAGAAATGAACCCAGAAATTATGTTTATATTCATTGACACTTAAAAACATGGAAGGGGATGTAGAAATAGTGACATTATTCATTTCTTGTTTTTATATTGTTTTATATTGTTGTTGTTTAAACTTATTGTTATTTCATTTAGAAACTAACATTGTTTAAGATATAATTATAATTGAGAACAACGACTAACTTTTGTTTAGTTATGTATATCGTTTTCAGCAAGCTGTGCATTTTTTGAGATGTTTTTATAATATGTTTTATGTATAAACTAAATACTTAGCTTACTTTTTTAGTTTTTATTATATTAGTAAACTATATCATATTTAATTATAATATGTTTTTTTATGGTACTAAAAAAAAAATGTATTGCAGCGTATTGCGTTTTACAGAATAAGTTTTTTAGAATAGTTTTAAAAAAATTTATGTTAATTACATGCTAAATACTTTGTTTAAATGTTTTTTTAAGGTAATTTTAATTTATATTAAATGTTTTGTAGAACATTGTTATTAAAACTAAAATATGGATGGACCATCAGAAAGTGTTAGCTTAGTATCTTATAGAAAAAAAAACGGAAGAATTTCAACTACATTGTTAGCTGTTTCAGTTTCATCTGTGTTATCTGTCTCCTATGGTTTTGTTTTATGTTATCTTATTTATTTAAAAGAGCCTTGGTATAAAAACGTAAGTAATAAAAGTTTTTTGTTTTTAATTTTTTTTTTTTAAAAGTTAATACATGTAGCTGTATTACACAAAAAATACAATAATGAGTAGATAAAAGGCTTATTTGATAGATAATTTTTTGATTCTTTTCATTTAAAACATTATTTGATATATATATAACACTGCAACTTTTTCAGAACTTCAAAATTTTAATATTGGTAGAATATGTTATATTTTAATAGTATTTCAAAATTATTGTTTTTATTATGAAATTTTTAATTTACTTACTAATTTTTGGATTTTTAGTTTCTTTTTTTTAATTCATTTATGCTTATAACTAAACTTTTAAGAATTAAATTAATAAGATTTTATTGTTTTTATTGTTATATTTTTACATTATGTTTCTTTTTTTCAAGGAATTAATTTCAATCTTTTTGTATTCAACTAAACATTATGGTATTTTATTTTTTTCATTATTTTTCTCACATAAAATGATATAATTTTGACTTAAATAACTCTGAATTGTTCTAAATAATGATAAGTTTTTTTTATTATACCTTTTGTTATAAGGTTTTTTCAATTTTTAACCAATCATTTTTTCACTTTCAAATAAAAAGTTTCTTTAAGCATGTTTTTTGTAGATTATCTGGCATGTCTTCAAAATTCTGTAAATGTGCAGTGTTAAATTCATTATTTATTCAGTTTTCCGTATTAAAAGTTTATTTCCTATTTTGAGCTTTTAGTTTTCACGAAGTTGGATTGTTTTTTTAAGGAATTTTAAGAACTATTCAACTTATTATAATAAAAATTTGTCACAGGTGAAATAAAGGCCTTACCAAATAATGCAAATGTCATCTTTGCGTTGTTCCTTTAACTAATAAAATCAACTTGACTGATGTTTCCAACTAGTATAGTTGTATATTTTCTAAATTTATCATGAAGTAAAAGTTAACCTTTTGGATAATGACTTTTTATAACAAAGTGTTTGAAAAATAAGATTTACACAAAACATATAACATACAGCGTTTAAATAAGTTTCTTTTAACGTCAAATGTTTATGGGCCTCTACTTTTCTTTATATATAAGATTGGTTTCTGGAGAGCGTCAAATATATCAACAATAAGATTTGCTGACTACAGTAACTTTTTTATTTCAGGAAAATATATACCTAACCTCTTCATACAAATGGATGATTAAGAAAGTATTTTAAAAAAGAAACAAACTTTTCATTACTTCTAAAATTTTTTTTTCAATATTTTATTTATTAAATAAAACAAGTAGAATTCCTTTTTTTTTCCTAAAATAATTTTTTTTCTGTTTTCTGTTAAGTGTTTCTAATTTGACTTTAGAAGTACTACTATGCAATATTTGCAATTGCATGGAGTTGTACTTCAAAAGGCAAACTAGATACACTCAAAAGAAAACAGAACATAATTCTATAAATAAATATAACTTTATATATACTTTGTGTACAACAGGCACTTTCAATTGTACCTTTATGCTATCTTAAGCAGGAACAATTTAAAAATACATATTGTGCTTTTCCTATTTGAAATAAAATATTGGCAAAAGGTAAATTATTAGCACATTTATAAAATATAAATCACTTACAAAAATTAATAAAAAAGAGTTTTAGAGTATACAAATCTTATAAATAATTTATTTTGAATTACTTTTTCGAATATTTATTTTATTTACAACTTTAAGAGTTTTTTTATATTAATTTTATTTATTTTTTATCATGCCTATTTTTAGCCTTTTTTTAAACAAAATTTTTAAAATATTGAAAATTTTGTTAATAATATATATATATATATATATATATATATATATATATATATATATATATATATATATATATATATATATATATATATATATATATATATATATATATACATATATATATATATATATATACATATATATATATATATATATATATATATATATATATATATATATATATATATATATATATATATATATATATGTATATGTATATATATATATATATATATATATATATATATATATATATATATATATATATATATATATATATATATATATATATATATATATATATATATATATATATATATATATATATATATATATATATATATATATATATATATATATATTGTTTTGGTGGTGATTATTGGTGTATTTAAATAGCGAGTTTTGTTTTTCGTAAGAAAACGTTTTCAGTACTCTATACAAACATTTTCAGTTTTACTTCATTTTCATACAAAATTAGTTTGGTTAATGCTTAATTAATAGAACTTATAAAATAAACAACACTAGTCTCGGTCTTAGTCATGATATTAACCAATTTTTTAAAGTTTCCAAATGCATCTTTTACCCGTCTTGGTTGATTAAGAAAACCTATAGCTCTTATATTAACAACACCAATGTTGACATTTCAACATGTTCGGAAAACCTACAAAATTATCAATATTTTAAACTTTGTTATATTGGAAAAATATCTGATTTAACCAAACAAAAACAAAACACAATCATTAAAAAGATATTGTAAATCAATCACTGTAAGATTGGTTTTTACTTCATTTAAAATTTTATAATTTTTTTCCACAAAAGATCCCTTTCCTACAGACTTTAATTCATTCGTTGTGCATTAAATGTGCAGGCTGTAAATCCCCTTATATTGGCTAAACTACTCGCCATTTAAAGATACAAATAATCGAGCACTGAAAGAGGGATAAAAATTCACACATTTATAAACATATTCATTCAAATGAAAGCTGTTTTAATAGTTTTAATCATGCTAGTTTTTCAATTTTGGATTTGGCTTCTAACAAATTTATATTAAAACTCAAAGAAAACATGTCCATAGAATAGGAAAAACCAACTATTAACAAACAAATGAACCATTTAAAAATGACAATTTCAATCTAGTTCCTTTTAACATTACCGGTTCTTTAATCATTTTAAAACATTTATTACATTTTTAATTGCATTTTTATTGTATTTTTATTATAAGGTCTCTATTAGTTTAACTTGATTTAAGTAATTTAATTTAAGCTTTTTAATATATTTTAACTGATGATGGCTATGAGATAGTCAAAATATGTATGTATATATATATATATATATATATATATATATATATATATATATATATATATATATATATATATATATATATATAAATATATATACAGGGCTTGAATTAACTCAAAAAAATCTAATCGCGGAAAAAAAAAAATTTTTACAACCTTCTTCCCCCCCCCCCCCATACCTTGCGCTTCTTTACAGTTATTTGGGGGGGGGGGGGGAGAAGTTGCGTTAGTATATAACTGTAACTTTGGTACGTAATTGATCTACTTTTAATATATTATCTCTATATTTAAATATAATTTTATAGTTTTCTTGTTCAGCAGAGTTTAAAATACCGTAAGTTACTGTTATTATTTACAACTTAAGTTTTAACTTAAAGTTTAAGTTGCAGTTGTAAAGAAATATCTTAATAATACTATTAAGATATTTCTTTAAGTATATATTTTACTTAAAATGATACTTAATAAAGTAAAAGTAAAAAAGTTAGGAAAAAGTGACATAGCAATATCTAAACCACTTTAATTAGTCAAAGAAAACTATTTAATACGTTCGTGCTGATGTTAAAACACGTGTTAATTTAAATAAATACTCAATTGTTAAAAGCTATAAAACAACATTAAAACAAACTGCAAAGTTGTTTTAAAATATAAAGAGATTGGGTTAATGTAAAACAAGTTCGTGACGCTGGTCGTGTTGATTTATACAATTTATAAAATAAAACACGTTTAAATATTAAAATGTTGTTTTGTTAAGAAATTAGAATAAAGAAAAACTTAACTTTTTTCTTCTTAATTTGCTTCTACGCAGAGATTTAAAGAAGTTTAAATTAAAAAGTGCTTAACATTGAATAAAAATCTCTGCGTGAAAGAGTAAATGATCATACTTCTATTCAAAAGCAAATGATCAAACTAAATTAGAAAAATAGTAAATAAACAACTAAAAAAGTAAACCAATCGCGAAAATGTTTTAAGAAAAAACTAATCGCCAAGGTGTAAAAAGCAATCGCGATTTGCAATACGCTTAATTCGAGCCCTGATATATATATATATATATATATATATATATATATATATATATATATATATATATATATATATATATTAGAATATATATATATACATATATATATATATATATATATATATATATATATATATATGTGTGTATATATATATATATATATATATATATATATATATATATATATATATATGTGTGTATATATATATATATATATATATATATATATATATATATATATATATATATATATATATATATATATATATATATTTCATTGCTTATAAAAAAAGTTTTAAATTTTTTTATTGTAACAGAATGCAGGGATTTTGAATGTCTATGAAAAAGTGTCATAATTTCATATAGATTCTAGTTCTGAGGTAAATTAACTATATAAAGTTGTCAAAATACAATATTTCTATAAATTTTAAAGTATTCTAAATCTTATTCAAGTTTGGACAAGCAATTGGGATTTTAAAAAGATTACAAAAAAAAAAAAAGAATCTTTGGTCTGAGTTTTTTCACAACAAAAATTTTTGTTGCAATATGAAAATTTAAGATACTGCAAAATTTATCATTTTAACTTTTTTTGTCTTTTTATAATTCACAGACCTGATCATTTAACGGAAACATGTCGTAGTCAACAAAATATCATACAGACGCTATAATATTTTAAGAAAGCCTTAACTACACTGATTAACTAAATGATTGTCGTTTTTTTACTATAATACATCCATTATCATCAGACAACTATTGTTTCCGAGCTTGTTCACAATAAAAATTACAAGCAAACATTTTACCACCTAAATCAGAAAACAATATTTAAATTATTGAAGCAAGTATGATGTATGATAAAAATAATAATAAATATAATAGTAATTACAAAAAATTTCATGATAAATAAAAAGCAAAATGTA